AAAAAAAAAAACAGGGAATAACATGCTCAGCATTTCTCAAGCTGAAAGAACTGAAGGAAAAATTCAAGCCTTAAGTGGTTGAGTTGCAATACTGAAAAAGTCTACGGGCAAAATATTGAATGATGAAAGAAACATCAAAAGAAAATGGAAGAAATACACAGAATCAATGTACCAAATATAATTGGTCTACTTTCATCCATTTCAGGAGGTGGCATATATGATCAAGAACTTATGGTATCGAAGGAAGAAGTCAAAAGTGCACTGAATTGGTGAAAAACAAGGTTCCAGGATTGAGAGGATACCCATTGAGATGTCTCAAGAAAGAGATGCCATTCTGGAGGCACTTACTCATTTATGCCAAGAAATTTGGAAGACAGCTACCTGGCCAACTGACTGAAAGAGATCCATATTTATACCCACTACAAAGAAAGGTGATTACACAGAATGTGGAAATTATCAAACAATATCATTAATATTACATCTAAGTAAACTTTTGTGGACAATAATTCAAAAACAGTTGCAGTAATATACCAACAGGGAACTTCCAGAAATGAAAGCTGGATTCAGAAGAGGACATAGATCAAGGTCTATAATTGCTGATGTCAAATGGATCTTGGCTGAAACAAAGAATGCCATAGATGTTTACTTGTGTTTTATTGAGTATGCAAAGGCATTCGACTGTGTGGCTCATAACGAATTGTGGATAATATTGAGAAGCAGGGGAATTCCAGAACACTTAATTGTGCTCATGAGGAACTTGTACATAGACCAGGAGGCTATCATTCAAACAGAACAGTTACTGCATGGTTTAAAACTAGGAAGGAGTGTGTTAGGGTTATATCCTTTTGCTATACTTATTCAATCTATATGCTGAACAAATAATTTGAGAAACTAGACTATATTAAGAATGAAGTATCAGGATTTTAGAAAGACTCATTGACAACCTGATATATGCAGTTGACAGAACATTGTTTGCTGAAAATGAAGATGACTTGAAGCACTTACGATTAAAGACAACAGTCTGCAGTATGGATTACCTGTCAATATAAAGAAAACAAAAATCCTCACAACTGAACCAATAAACAGCATCACAATAAATGGAGAAAAGATTGCAGTTGTCAAAGATTTCATACTTGATTCCACAAGTAACACCCATGGAAGCATCAGTCAAGAAATCAGATAACATACTGCAATGGGCAAATCTGCTGCAAAAGACTTCTTTCAAGTTCTGAAGAGCAAAGATGTTTCTTTGAAGACTAAGATGCACCTAACCCAAGCCATGGTGTTTTCAACTACTTCATATGCATTTGAAAGCTGGACAGTCAATAATAAAGACTGAAGAAGAGTTGATGCTTTTGAGCTGTGGTATTGTCAAAGAATATTAAAAGTACCATGGACTGCCAGAAGAACAAACAAATCTGTCCTGGAGTAAATCCAGCTGGAATGCTCCTGGGAAGGAGAATGGCCAGACTTCATCTCACTTACTTTGGTCATGTTGTCAGAAGGTACCATTCCCTGGAGAAGGATATCATACTTGGTAAAGTGGAGGGTCAATGAAAATGGGAAAGACCCTCAACAAGATGGATTGATACAGTGGCTACCATAATGGGCTTAGGTATAGCAATCATTATGAGGCTGGCTCAGGACTGGACAGCATTTTTTTTGTGTGTTGTACACAGGACCACTATGAGTTGGAGCTGACTTGATGGCACCTAACAGCAATAACAACAAAGTTACACATCTCCTAAATGGATGGGCCAAGATTGAAACTTAAAGTGACTGAATCTCCCTCCCCCAAATATTCTATAACCTTTATGATATATGCCTTTAAGTGAACCACAACAAAATTACACATCATATGAACAATAAAAGAAATATTTGAAAAAAAATTGTAAGGTTTATTTTGTATAAGACATGATTTAGAGAAGGAAAATATAGACAAATTAATTATCTTCAAATAATTAAAAGATTTGATACTGAATTTTATTAACTAATCTTTAAAATACTGAGTATTGAATTTGGTTTCAAATGATATTGAAAGGGCACAGTATGGTCAAGCCATCTGAATTAGAGATCTGGCATTAAACCTTCTTAAGATGAATCTATATAAAATCAGGCCCCTTTTACCCCATATGATGTTATCTTAAAAAAAAAAAAAAAAAGGACCAATACCAACCAAATTCAGTTGCCATTGAGTCAGTATTGATTCATGGTTTCTGCGTGTATTTCAGAGTAGAACTCTACTCCACAGGGTTTGCAATGGCTGAGTCAGCAGAAGTAAATCATCAGTCCTTTCTTTGAAGATCTGAGTGGATTCAAAAATCAAATCATTTGGTTTGCAGTTGAGAGCATTAGCCACTTGCTCCACCCAGAAATAAGTACTTAATAGAAATGGAGAGAATTCTCTATTGAAGAAAAAAAAAAGAGCTTCAAATTCGCCTTAGTTAATTGTTATTTATCAAAGCAAATAATATTAATTATCAAGGTTACTTAGTTTCGTAATTATTACTTATCAAATCTTATGAAGTTAGGTATGAGGGAAATATCCCAGAGCCAAGATACAAAGTCAATTTTCACAAAATTCCCAGTTGCAAGGAGATAGGGAAGTACACATGCTTTCCATTATTTGAGTTAAGTTTAAATAGGAGAGAAAGTAGAGATTGTTTCTCATCTTCTCTTGTAGTGCTTCCAATAATCCTTCACA